CTCAAATATACAGTTATTTTTTATATGAGCGCAATCAGCGTAATCGTGGTCATATTTTAGTTAAAGGTGGATAAACACTTATAAATGATTCATATCTTACATTTATCTTCTGATTTTATATGTTTATATATAAAATTAATTCATTATGAACAAATAAATTTGATCACATTTGATTTGATGGAGGACGAGGCTTGATGCAGATACAGGAAGTCGGCTGGCTGGAGCTTCAGATTAACAGGATCCGAGGGTTAAATTTAGTCCTGTGATTCTCAACAGTCTCATTTTCTAAAACTTTTAATGATATTTTGTCCTGAACTTAAAGAAATTCAATAAGTGAGAGAGAGAGCGCACACACACACACACACACACACACACACACACACTAGTCTTTCTCACACTCTGAGCCCATAACTTCATTCTTGGTCCCGCTCCAAGGGGACTCATCGTTGGCTTGACCAGGACCTCATGTATTCAGTTAAACCAATCAAAGCTCCATTCATTCCCGCGGCCCATAGTGCCCGATTCATTTCCAGCCAATAATAGGGAATCTGTCGTCGTTTTAATGGAAAAGGACGCGTATATTTTCCCCCCTTTTTTCAGCAGCCGTGCTTAAAAAAGCCTGCAGAGTGAAAAGCAGCTGAGGTAATGCCCCAATAAAACTTCACCAGCCTGTTTACTTTGGATGTGTGAAGAACACAGATATTACACTCTGTAAATTCACTGCTTTGCTGCTTTCTGAGTTAACAGGCCGGGGTCGCTCTCACCTCCATCCGTCTCAAGACTGCCGTCGCTGCTCTGACATTTATTAGTGGAGAAAGGAAGGAGCTGATATATTGGATTATTTTCTTTTTTTCCAACCACAGATGGTTGTAAACTGGGTGAAAATCCAGCTTATTACCAATGTGGTGTTGCATAAGCGCCTCCTTGTCTCTGATTCATCAGATAATCTTTGCTTTTGAGGCTAGAAACTCTTTCTAAATTAAACTTTTTACCACTTTTCTTAAAAGAAGTAAAAGATCAGGTTCGCCTAAACTTTGTGAAACACTTTCATCGACTTTTAAAGAAACTTTTTGTCGCGGTTCAGGGTTAATACAGAAAATACTGACATCATTCTGTGCGTGAGTATTTTTCTGTTGAAATGAAGTTTAAAAAAGTTTTCCACAGTTAAAAAGTTTTTTAAACTTCCTTTATTTTGGTCTATTTCACTATAAACTTGGCTTCTTTTACAAGTTTTTCACACATTCACACAAATATTTGAGGATTTTCAAACTCCATCTTATGAACTCAGCAGCTAAAATGATGGAAACGAGATTTTAACTACTGAGACGTTTCTGTGGAGAAGAGAAACCTCACTTAAAGGAAGAAATTATTAAAATTAAGAGTCAAAAATGTGTTTCCAGACCCTCTGACATTAGAGCTTTATTAGTGCTGGTTTAAAATGGATTAAAATTATTGTAAAATCTGAGTCCACTAAGAAGGGAAACAGTTTAAACTTTTTTTCTGCGTGTTGTGTTCAGCAATGTGCCGTTTTTATGCAGGTGTGTAGCACTGTTATCAACACCCCACTTGCAACAACTGAAGTTCAGTCTACGGTGGCCAGGAAGTGTCAGGCGATTTGCAAAAGAAAAATGCAAATAATGACACCAGAAATTTCCTCTTTAACACAAAACGTTTTGCCAAAGTTGAAACGTCAGTTAATTCCAGTTGTCTTTTCCCAAAGAGGGTTACCCCCAATTTCCACCACATCCAGAACGGCTACAAAAAGGCCATATCGGCCGATCGTAGTTGATCGTAACCATTCACGTTAACGTGTCAATTTCCACCAGCTTCTTTCTGTTCAACTGCGGATCCACGGACTCCTCAGCTGATCGCAACAGTTCAATTTTGTCCGGACGCCGGAGCATGCCGGATAAATTCAGCACAGATTAACCCGTGCTGGAAAGGAAGTCGGGCACAGACACAAAATAAAACATCAGCATGTCAATCCAGTTGTCCTTTCCAAAAGAGTGTTAGATTTTGATCCATCAGACCTCAGGACGGTTCACGGACAAGATACCTTCTTCCTCTACAAAAGGGTCAAGTCTTAGTTCATGAAAGTAGATTAAATTTACTCAGTCAGCTCGACACTGCTGCATCTAACCTTAACCTTTATGTTTATAAAGGTCAAAAACGAGCATGAAAACTGTGATAAAAAGTGAACTTTAACTGTGAGTTAACTGTCTGAGTTTGTTCCCCCATAAAACAGAGAAAGGTTCGATTGTGTTTTTCCTTTTTTTAATCCAGAGAAAATCAAAGTTTCCACAAAAACTCCCGAGTGTAATAGAGACAGGTTTATTGGTGGAAGCTCTGAAAAGGAGGCTTGTTTTGACCTCCAAGTCTCCATTTGTCTGTCAACCCTTGATTCACTGTACAGTACGATAAATGTACAGGAACATTTCTATACGGCGCAGACACGGCAGCCCCATAATAGATGGTTTCTAGACCTCACACATGCAGCAGACAGAAGGCTACACACACCCTGCGGTGATCACACAACACTCATTCATTCAGTACGACTGCGTTTGGAGTGAGAATAGTAAGGAGTGAAAATATGAGGCCTGTCTTCACTCCGCTTGAGGAGGTCTGAGATATTTCCTTCTCGAGACCGAGAGACACAAAAGGACATGCTGATCTTGACTCATTGATGCACATTGATTTCAATTATGACCGCCAATAACTGAGGGTTTACAGGTGATCAATATGAAACCAAATCAGGTGTAGACGAGCCGAAGACACCAGTTCTGCAGTTTTTCAAACATATATGTTATTTTGGAGGATATACATACAATATATTCTGCATGGGTGCAAAACATGTGGTATGTGGTTCCCTGTTCTGGAGACAGTCTGAAATACTCTACAAGGTCCCACACTAAATGACACGGCCCTGAGGTCTGCACAGACCAGCCTCTCAAACAATAAAACCATTTCCTAAACAGCCCAACCTGCAATTTGTTCTCCGCTCTGAGCTGTCAACGGGGAATGTTTCAATGTACAGAGCTGGTATGAAAAATGGAGGGAGGAGATCCAGAGTTCAGCCAGAGCGCTGTGAATCAAACGCCGTAAATAAAATGGACACAGTTCAAAAAGAGAAAGTAGAGACTTTGAAGTGACTCTTTTATTTATTTATCTTGTAGATTAAAGAGAGTCAGATCCACATAATCAGGACTACTGTTGTAATCCTTGTTGTCAGAATGTGGTTTGGGATCGTATGAAGGTCATCCCTGAAAAAGTCTTTGTCTGGATGGCAGCAGATGTTCCTCCTAAACCTGGAGATATTGTTTAAAATTGAGGATGGAGCATCTATGATTTCCAGTTCTTCGCTGAAAGGACAATTGGACTTACTTGAGACATTTCGCCCTTGTAAGTCCAGTTGTCCTTTTCAAAAGAGAGTTAGATTTTGATTCATCAGACTTCAGGACATTTCACAGACAAGTGACATTAAGCTCATGCAGTGACTCCAACTACAGAGTCCTGTTGCTCCTAAACCTGAAGATACTGTTCAGCATGAATGGATCCTTCACAGATGAGGAAGATATCCATCCATCTATTAATCAATGTATGATTCCATGCATCTATCTCATCCATCCATCAATATATCCATCAATCGAGCGATCGATCCATCCGTCTATCCATCCATCCATCAATATATCCATCCATCTATCATCCAACTATCTATCTATCCATCCATCTCTCTATCCAACCATCTATCTATCTGTCCATCAATATGTCCATTCATCTATCCATCCATTAATCTATCTTTACACCCATCTCTCCATCAGCTATCTATTTATCCATCCATCTATCCATCCATCTATCTACACATCAATATGTCCATCCAACAATCTATCTACCCATCCATCTATGTTTCCATGCATTTATCATCCATCTATCCATTGGTCCATCTATCCAACTATCTATCCTTCTATACATCTACCTATCAATCCATCCATCATCCATCCACCCAACTATGTATCTATCCACCCATCCATGCATCAATCTAACTATCTATCTATTCATCCATCCATCCATCAACCCAACTATCTATTCATCCATCCATCTATCTATCTATCCATCTATCCATCAATTTAACCATCTATCAATCTATCAATCCATCCAACTACCTATCTATTCATCCATCTATCTTTCTGTGCATCCATCCATCCAACTATCCATCCATCTACACAGTAACTGTATTTATACACTGTGTTTTTTAGAGGTCATTTTAAGCTCATGCAGTGATTTCCACTACAGAGTCACTCCTGTTTTTAACTTAATGCCACCTGCTCTCGGTTTTGGACCTCGTCTCCTTCCGTTTAGAGACTCTCTGAATATTTTACTGATATTTTATTCTCTTGATGATGGGATCCACATATTCTCTATGATGATAGTGAACACTGTTTCAAACTGTTGAACTGCTCACTTGCGCGGTCTCTCACGGAGCGGTAAACCTCAGTCATCTGTAAATAGAGTCACATGACCAGTTTGGAGATGTACTTTTAAATGTTTTCATCACTTTTAAACAACTTTTTCATTGTTTTATTGTCACTTTCTCGGCTTTTTTGAAACTTTTTACTTGCATCAAAAGTAAAATGATCACGTTCAAGGTTTGATTTAGTTTCATTCAAGTGAGCTATGAATTTCAAACCATAGAAATAGGTTTTTATTCATGTTTTCGACAGTTTCAATAAAATTTTGGAATTGATTTTATACATCTTCTGCATAAACTTGGACAAACAGTCTCAGCAAATCAAACAGAAGTACAGATAAAGTAAAAAAATATAAATAATATTCATGGAGAGTCGTTCTAATGAGACAAACTCCTCTGGATCACCTCGATGTTTCCAAACAAGAGAGAAACAGGAAGTGGGAGCAGCCAGTTTGATGAGGGGGTGATGATGGACGGAGATGGATGGCTGGAGCGTCCTGATCCCAGAGGAAGGTCAAACTCTCCGTAATCACAATTAGCCCATCCAGCACTCAATCACGTCGCTCAATGGTTCCCAACTGGCAGCTCCGGCGCTGCAGCAGCAACGAAGAGCGTTTACAGGGAGAGGAATGTGCCGGGGCCAGCTCTGTCTCTGATTATTTATTTTGGTCTGGAGAGCCGCTGAAGGCACTTCTGTTTTTCTGAAGGTTTTCCTGACTCTGTGTGTTGACACCATAAAATGTGCGCTGGAAGCGAAGCGTTTCGGAGCCACTGTCAGCACCGCGGCGGTGTCTTCGCCGCTGCAGCGCTCACTGATGATTATTACAGACATGTCCGCGGGGGGAAAAGTCCATGTTCTCTGTCGGGTTTTTACGACTTGAAAATGGTAGTGACACATTTTAAAACGTCTCTTTTTGAGGGTAAAAACTCTCAAGGTCTGAGGGGGACTCATGGTTCGACCTTTAAACTATTCATTAAAGGTGCATTTCCATATTTTTCTTCCATGTCCTGCGGTTTGAAAGCACATTTGATCCGTTTTCTAACCACTTTTTTGTAAGAGCTATTAGGAATGAATAAAACATCCACTTCTTCACTCCTCCCAGTGAGTGACACGGCCAAACTGTGTGTGAGGTGAAAGTGGAAAAGGAAGGCAATAACTCGACGCGCTTCCCTCGCATGGAAAACTGCGGCATGTGCCTACAGAGTTTCATTCACTCACACGGACGCTCGCTGCCAACTAAATGTCAGAGGTAGCTGAAACGCAGACGCTCCTTCCACTTTCCCAGGCCGAATCTCGTACCTCTGAATTACCCGCTCGTTTTTATATTTACATTTTAGACGCTGTAGATGACAACCTCATCCGGAGTGAATCATAATGAGAGAACCTGAGAGGAGAGGCGTGACTCTACAGACAGGGCGCTCTGAAACCCTCAACACCATCTGTAGGTATGATTAATGCGGCTCGGAAATCCGAACCTCAAACTTTTACTTTGAAATTAACGGCATGAGACCGGTTCTGGGTTTATTTTACAGAAAATCAGTCTGATCCGAGCAGAGACGGGGAATTTGTCAGATTAGAAGATATCAGGGGGACACAGTCTTGTCATCAGACCACACTCGGACCAGGACTAATCGGAGCGAGCGGTTTAATTTTGTGTCTGTGCCCGACTTCCTTTTCAGCAAGGGTCCAGCAGCGGAACGGAGAGAAGTCGGTGGAAATTGACACGTTAACTTGAATGGTTACGATCAGCTACAATCGGAGGATACGACCTTTTTGTAGCCGTTCCAGATGCGGCGAAAATTGGGGGTTAACTTAGATAAGGTTACAGATGCATGCCGACTAGAGCGACGGGAGTACAGAAATAATAGTACCAATGAGAAGTTAAACTGGGGCAGGGTTTCTGCAGGTTTCAAAGAGTCAAATTTAAGACTTTTTAAGACTTTTTAAGACCATAATGAACACAATTTAAGATCCATTTTACATCCATGAAGGGAAATCCGAACATTTTAAACTAACTTCAAATCAATTTTTATTTGTAAGTAACATCAATTCATTGTTAAGACCTTTCAGATTTTTATTTAAGACATTTTATGAGATTTTAAGAGAATTTTAGACATTTTAAGGCCTGAAATATGAATTACTGGATTTTAGACTTTTTAAGACCCAGCAGAAACCCTGAACTGGGCCACCATTGGCCAAGTGGCCCATGGTTTGAGTCCACCCCTTTCCTGCTTGTCACTCCCAACTGTCCTGAGGGCAAAATATAGCTAAACTGAAAAGCAAGTGTTGTTAAAAGAGTTTCAAAAAGTTACTATAAAAGGTCTGAAGCTCCTTTAACTCTTAAAAGTGAAGTCTCTTTTTTTTCTGGGTCAAAGCCCAGACTAATAAAGAAAGTGTACCAGGAAGTCCTGGTATAACTTCACACCTTGGGTATTTAATTATAAAGGCTCATTAACTCGGTTTGAACTCTGGATCTGAATCAAAAGTCTCGGCCAAACAGGCCGTCCCTCCATCTCTGAAATTATAGGCAAATAAAAATCAGGCCAAAGCAGGAAAGCTTTTGGAACAATTGTGTATTCCAGTGAAATGCCAGCTTGAGAAAATATTTTCATTCAGGATAAAGAGAGAGCCTAACTACTTAATTTCCATGAAAATGTTATTGCAGGATTTTCACTGTGATTCAGCGTCTCCGTCAGCTGCCAAAGCTGCGGCGGTCGAATATTCGAGCTGTCAGACAATTATTATGTTAGGGGTAGAGGAGTGACAGGAGTGGGAGCCGGTCCACTCCAGCCTGACTTACAACCGTGAGGAGACGAGGGAGGGAAAAAAAAGGGGAGAAGAAGGAGCCAGAAAGTGTAAGAGTATGATTTAAGCTCTCCTGTGCTCACTTCTTTACTGTACAAACTGCCAAAAACTCTTACTCATTGCCCCAGTGACTGTAAACCTCCCCTCTCCGCCTGCCTGATGAAAACTCCACCTTTATCAGAAACTTCCTGGAGTGGAGTCTGTACCCGCTGGAGCTGCTGCAGCAAGAACTCAACTTTTGTACCATTATGCAACCTGCCAACAATTCACAACACGGTTCAAAAACACGCAGGAACACTGTGTGTGCATTTTCCCCTCAGAGTCCGCCGATTCAGTTTCCACCTTTACACGGCGAGAGGCAATTTCCTGAGCGGCTCAGCTGATGAGGTTTTCGGAGTAAGAGCGGGGCCAGTAATTGAATCTCCGAGCTCTTGTTAAAAGTGCAGCTGTCGATGGCAAAGCTCGGTGGAGGCAGAGTGTGAATTCTTGTGTCATGGTGCAAGCGGGGAACTCTGGACACATATGCCAGCCATCAGCGGCGGGCTGTTCGCTGTGTTTTAGTCGAGGGTCTGCAGAGAAAGCCCCTGTGGAGCCTTCTCACGCACATGTGTAAAGAAAGAGGCATGCTCTGTGACAGACAGTCAATGCTTTGTGTGATTGGTTTCACTCATTAAATGTGCCGCTTTGTTAGTCCACCAGTCCGAGAGCGTACTGACTCACATTTTAACGCCACACTTTCTTCTTAACAACTGATACCAAATTCATGAAATTTACATTTTCGGATATTTTTAATTGTCTTTGCAGATTAAAACAGAAGACAGGGGATGTAATTTACTATGAGAAACGATGAGTAAAAAGTAGAATGAAAAACAATTTAGGAGTATTAAAAAAATTACAAATATAAAATGAGAGGGCTGTTACTTAAATTTGGACCTTCATTCAAAGGTTTACATTCAAACTATCAGTTGTTTGATTGGTTTGAAATGTCATATTTCAAACTATTTTGTGTCACTAAAAGAAAAAAGGAAAAGAAAAAAATAATTTAAAAAAACTAATCATGATAAAAAAAAGGGTTAGGGTTCGAACTGCTCAAACTCATACCAGTGATTTAGGCCGTCTGAAGTAACCTTCCTGAATGATCCAGCAGAGGGCACCCTCATCGTAACCTGACCACCGAATGGCACTCATGACACCAGAACGTCTAACCCCCAATTTCCAACGCATCCGAAAAGGTCGTATCCGCCGATCGTAGCTGATCGTAATCATTCAAGTTAATGTGTCAATTTTCACCGACTTCTTTCCGTTCCACAGCTGATCGCAAGAGTTCTATTGTTTTCGGGCACCAGAGCATGGCGGATAAATTCAGCACAGATTAACCCGTGCTGGAAAGGAAGTCGGGCACAGACACAAAATAAAATCTGTCACTCTGTGTTTCAGGAGGATCGTATTTCACATCATGCAAACGGGCGGAGACAAACAAATGAAAGGTTCTTAGACGTCATTTCACCCCGATGACACCATGGATGAGGAGATGCTGATTTTAAAAGTCTAGGAGTAGATTTCCTCCTCTGGAAGGATACAGTCTACTGCTTATATGGTTAGCCTCTGTGGCTAAAATCAAAAAATCAAAAATAACAGAGACCCGAACTTCTACCTCCCTGACTTTACAGAGCATTTTTTAGAACCTCAGAGATAAAAATGTCCTTCACTGTAATAATCTTAACTCTTAGATCTGGCATGTGATGACCTTAACATTACTTGTTTTTTTTTTTCACTCTCAGCGTCTCATCAAAACTTGAACTGCTTTCACGTATAAAAATTTCTTGGGAACACTTTACAATGACCATAACTTATAAATGGTAAATACACCATTTATAAATGGTAAGTAGATAGTTTATTGATGTTTAATCATCATTTATAAAGAGCATATAGACGATTAATAAATTGTAAATTTTACAATTTTAAAAACCTAACCCTAACTTTACAATAACCATCGAAGTTTAAAGATGGTTTATAAACCACTTATTAATCATTTACAAAGTTCTACTGACACACATTTTAATCAAGATGTTTTACAACCAATATTAAAACCCTATATAAACCTTTAACAAACAGTCCATTAATAATGAATGAAAACTGTTAATCATAATTTCATTGCTTGTTTATGGTAAAGTAACTATTAACTTAAATTAATAAACTTATAAATTATGGTTATTGTAAAGTTTTACCCATTTCTTGAAATAAGAATTTCTCTGCTAATATGTCTTGAAATAATATATATTTTTTAATCTATTGTGGATATTTAATGTTAGAAATGTTGAAGCGCTCCTCTGACACCTTTCTTATATCAACAGTTTAAAGTATTTAAAATAACAGCATGAAAATTACCGTCAATAATGTCACTGAAATAAACTAAGATAAAGCATGTCTGAGTTTTATAAAGTAGCTGCACTGAGGCACCTTAGAGCCACACAGGGAGCATGGGAATGACAGCCGGGGTCAGAGGTCAACAAATGAGTTGAACAGGAAATACCCAATACGATGAACATCATTAGCCTGTTCTGCTCAATTACAAAAGAGTTTATCATCTCTACCTGGATGTATTAATCAAGTTCTCGGACCTTCCTTCAGCTTCCTCTGCACAGAAATGTCAGAGCACGTCTAAAAACGTCCTCGGATGTGATCAGGTCAAAGTTTGACGGTCATGTTTGATTTGAAAACAATAATGGAAAAACGACCCTGGACCTCGACGAGCCTCACGAATCAAACCTGATCTTAAACCACGTGTGTTTTTGGATTGTGAAAGCTGCAGCAGCAGTTTCCTGGTAGTCTTGTGTTTAAAGATGGGGAGCCAGGAAACAATCAACACAATTCAATAATCACCCCGGCTGTTTAAACCGGAGCAGGGAGGCCCTCCTCTCTGTTTATTTTCCTTGTATCGCCTTGCATTTACTTTTTAATTTCATGGCCAAGTGGACCTCCCTGACATCCTGCCTCCCCTCTCCCTCCCCCTCTCCCTCTCTCTATCCCCACCTCCCCTCTTATCCCCCTGTTACCCTCGCCCCTCTTTTCGCTCCTCCTCCGAACCCCCTCACCATCGCCACCGTTCGAAAACACTCCAGATCCCTGAAAGGTCACGGTGCTCC